CCCCGCCAGCAGCGACATCTGTGGTCGGCCGCAGACCTTTTTCTCCAAATAAATTGTCAAATTGGTGGGACCGATGGATTAAGAGGGTGTGCCGTCCCCCTACCTCCCCGCCACCCATCCTACCAGCCGTTTGGATGCTCTGTGGAACCTGGACCAAGGAATTCCAGAACGCGGACCCCTCTATTCAGCGAATATACAAGAAGAGGCTGGAAGGTAACGACCGTAAGGCAGGTCCAGAGGTCGCCGAAGGTAGTGGATGCGGCTGAGGGTTCCTATTTTAATCCAGGGGTTGAAATGCGTAGAAAAGTAAAATCCCGCTTGGAAGGTGGGAGGCGGATTGAGGGCGAATGAGCCCAACCTGGGATCCTGATATTGACACCCGGGGGTAGAGTACGTAAGAATATCCCACACTTTCGGATTTATGAAGGAATTAGGCTCTGGTTGCTGGTAACGCCAAATCCGAGTAAATTGAGTTTCGCCAAGAAAACGAAAGACTCGCCTGCCCTCCTCCCTCCCCCCCGCAGCCACCCCTCGTCCTATTTCGGCAACCAACGCGCCATAGGAATCACCCACGTGGTAAGCAAGGACGACCGGCTTAATTAAAGGAAACTTCAAGCCGAGATCTTCGTCGAGCATCCTGCGATGGAGCTCTGTCCTAGTCACGACCATGGAGCCGGATAGGGGTTGAAAGATAAAGGGGTACAGTAGGCGTTCGAGTTAAATTAAACGGAAAAAAAAAAAAAAAAAAAACTAATCTGTCGCATTATTTATTTTTACCTTTGTAAAAGGCGCGAGTTAAAGGTACGATATAACGGGTGAGCAATATTTTTATATCTTTTAATATCGTAGGCACGGTAACGGCCTTGAATATTTTCTTTTGCGATTCTTCCAGGGATTTTCAATAGAAGAAGAAGAGGGATAGGAGAAGGGACGACCGTAGGTATCCGCGAGGCAGTTTCGCGGGAGCGTCGCAACGCCTTTTTCCGAGCGTCGTAAATCAAAAGTTCGCTTGAAAACGCGGCTGAATCGCACGGAAACGCGGTGCCCGATGTGTAACGGGTGTCTAGAACGACCCTGGGCCATACCGGGCTTTAGGGGTAGATTTTGGCAGCGAGGCCGATGGGAAATTACGAAAATTCTACGCTGGCATCGTCCTGTGAGGCGTTCGAATTTTCACGTATCTGAACGTAATTATTTTTGAAAACAAGATCCAAAAAAAATTATCCCGCGTACCTAACCTAAGGACTAAAAAAAAACATGAAATCAACCCTCGCGATACAATTTACCCACACGAACCCCCCTCCCCCCAACCCCCGGGGATAATTAAACTCTAAAACTTTTCATGTTGGTATTCGCGGGGGGCGTGCGAGAATCCTCGGCAACAGGATCCCAGTGAAGATCAACACTGGCAACCCCTTGACTGCGTGAGAGTTACAGGCTGGGATAGGGGGCAGAAGGGGCGAATAAAATTTTACGGCCGCGAAATCGTCCAATAATTGTTACGGCTCGCTTTGATCGCGTAAAACACGTCGTAAACGTCGAAGGAATACCATGAGGGGGGTGAAGCGTCGGATCCACGAATTACTGTTGCGTTTGCGACCCCTCGATATCCTCATACCTACCCCTAATAACCTAAACAGCAACTCATTCAAACTCACATATATACGTACTGATGTACCGATAACGAGGCGAAGTGAAAGACTGCCGAAACTGGTGACCCTTAAAGAAATTTTTTTTTACAAAAATTACAGTTGCATCCTCGCCACTCGTGGAAGAAGGCTTTTCTCCGATCAGAGGTTGCCAACCGTTACAAGAAATGCCACGTGGGTCCAGTCCACAATTTTAGGTAAAAATTCCAAAATTTAAAAAAAAAAATTCAAAAAAGTCACTCTAACCCCCTCTAACCCCGTACGCTTCGATATACCCCGAAAAGGCCAAACCGACAATACCGAGGACCTTCCGAGTGAAAAGCCCACTGTGCTCCCGTGTATATATATATATATATATATATATATACACACTCTCATGTCAGAATTGCCAGTTTTACCAAATAAACTTGGATAGGATATACCATGGGAGGGGGGATTGGGTTGGTTTTTGGTTTTTTTTTTTTTTTTTTTTTTTTTTTTTTTTTTTTTTTTTTTTTTTTTTTTTTTTTTTTTTCATTAAAAATAGTTGAGAGACCCTGATACCCATTCTATCCCGTGTTCCGTAGACGTTCGTGACGGGATGGCGGGAACGACGTCTCCCTTTTTCCAAGCAAGT